GGATTTTATAAAATCAAAAGCAGTTGAAACTGCATTTTTATGAATAAAAATTTGACAAACTATTTATCGTTTTATGACAAGCAAAACTTTTTCATCATGTTCACGGCTTTTAAGTAATGCATAAACCTTCGAGGCGCGAGGCCCTTCGGACCGCGAGGCATACGTCGTCCATGCCTTATGTCGCTCTTGGTCATAGAAATGATGTAATTTGAATATAAATTATTTATAAATACGTATGTCAAGTTATATTTTTATTATGACGCAAAATATATTTAATTAATTAAGAGTTTACGGCCACTGTGCTGGATGAGACATTGTTGAAACAAAACTATGCAAGCATAAAATTGCTATAACAGACTTATCATACAGGAAAAAACTGCAAAGTTTTGCAGTTTTTCCTGTATGATAAGTCTGGCTTTGATTAAAGCCTATTTTTCAGGGCTTTAATCAAATAGGTTTTGCAGATTTTTGTGTGGTAAATAAATCTGTTATGTTTTCTATGTTTGCAATTTTATGCTCACATAGAAGATATCAATACAACCAGGACAAGAAGCTTTTAAATCAAGTTCAATTTTGATATAGTTTAGTGCACTATGCACTGTTATTCTGTAATTATTTTTTATTTAAAATTTTTATCAATGCTTCAAATCATTCAGTATTGCAGGAAGCAAGTTTTGGAGCAGAATGTCTTATGAAGAGTTGATAGAGTTGTAGATCCTTTTTGCTTTTTTGCTTATATGTATAGCAGTGTCCTGCAAATCTGACAAAGTTCTAACATCACCTGAATTTTGCTTAAATTTTTATAGAACTTATTTCCAAATTGATTTTAATCATTTGTCTTTTTACTTTTTTTTTAAAATAAAAAACGAACAAATAATTTAAGGTTGACTTTATGCAGGAAATAAAAGTTGCGCCACATTAGATTAGTTAGTGGTAATAATCTAAAACGCCTAACTTATTTGTATCAAAGAAAAAGGAAATGAAAAATATTTTGTTTAAAAAAAATTTTTACAGTTGTCATATTTAAAAGTTGTAAATGTCAATGACATGAAAGTCAAGGAATGAAAATCAAGCATGTTTCCTATTTCACTAATTATTTTCTTTACATAATTTAATGATTTTGTATTTTTAACTGTCTAATCTTTAGTAATAACTGAACAATGATTTAAAATAAAAATTCTAAGCTCCTACTCTGTTTATATTAGTTTATACATGAATGCTGTTGTTTTAATATATTTTTTAATTAATTTATTTTGAAAATTTAATAAAATTTACAGTATATGTAGTAATGCTAGAAATTTTTTAAATGACTTTAAATATTTGTTTTTTTATTAAATTTTATTATCAAATAATATATATATTAATTATATTTAAAGTTTTATCTGTTTTAATGTTAATAACATCAAATTACCAGCTATATATTTGCTCAAAAATGTTAAGAGAAAAAATTAAATACAACTTTTTAGGGTGCAAAATATTTTTTATTAAATACTGTTGCTGTTGATTCCAATAATTTGATACCATTATTTTATTTATTTTTACTTACAGAAAAGTATCTAAACTTTTTATTTTAAAGAATTTAAATTAAGCAAAATTTTAATAAAATTAACAGAAAACAGAACATTATTTAAGTACAAAAAAATGTGGCAAAGTGCACAAAACTTTAGAATTGAAAATTGAAATTTTTACTACTGTGTTTTGGTGTTAAAATACTTGAATTAGTTTAAAACATGTAAAAGAATAAAATTATATTACAAAAGTACTTGTTATTAAAAATACAAATTCATCTTTCTTCAGGCAAAGAATAAATGGAAAAATAATTTCTTTCTATCTGTTCTTTGATGACTAAAAAGTTTTTAAGATTACCCTCAAAGACAATTATTCAAGTAATAGGACTCAAGATTGAAAGAATTATAAAACCACATCACAAAGACAAAGATGTGTGAATTATCACAGTTAGACTCTAATAGTATATGATCTTGTTAAAAATGAAAAATATCTGATGGATGATAATCATATTTCAATTCCAAAGGGAAATCAGGTTGATGTCAAATGGTAGATTGGGAGTACTTATTAGACAATTTAGTGAAATGAAGACTGAACACTGAGCACAATCTCAATTGAAACTCTTATGATGAATAAAACAGCAGTGGTNTGACATTTGCTTAAGGAAAGAAAAAAGCGACAAATGAAACTTCACGACTTTATTGCAAAAGAACAAGAATTTCAGAAAAGCCAGGACATTCGTCACAAAAAATGAACTTTACATTTCTGTGTGCATATGTTTATGTGTTATTTAACATATATTATTATACAAATTAATATAAAAATAAAATACGTGTTGTTTAGTTATTATTATAAAAATAACTTAAAATTAAAGTAAAATTTGTTTATTTTTGGTTGTGTGTTCCCCTATCCCTATTTACTCTGTTAAAATGACCTTGTTTAACGCTGTTTCACTTAGTGCTTTCTTGTCTAGGAATGCATCCCCCATGTTAAGCAGGGTCTTACTGTACCTTATTCTTTCACATTCACTGGCAGCAGTTAAATGCTATACAATAATTTTTTCTTATTCATGTGATCCTTTGCATAAACAAACTCAATTATTTACTCCATTTCTATATTAAATACTTCAAGCATTTCTAAAAGAAGAAAATTTTATTGCAGAAAAAGATTAAACATTATATAGAACTTTTCATTACTTCTACTGAATTTTATCATTTTTATTGTATTTTTCTAATTATACTTGTGTAATTAGAAATATACAATAATTAAAAATACAAAAATAATTAGATCAAGAATGATAATCAAGAGATAGAAAACTAATCAAATGAAAAAGCCAAATTCATTACTGGTCTCTAATTAAGTTAATTAAATTTACAGATATGTAATTTGGTCTATAGGTAGGTGATTAAGTTGGCATTTTGTATTAAATTAATTAATTTAGAACACTCTGGAAGAAAAGGCCAATCTGGAGCAGGTCTTGAACATGCAACTTCTTACAGTGCAGATGAATTACCAGTTATGTTACTCAGACTGCCATCTGATATTTGCTTGATTTTTTATATAATTATATACTTGTAAATTTCTTGCAGTTTTTAAAATTATATTTCTTGCTTTTTTAGTTATTACATTTTAAGATTTATGCCCAAATCATGGTATAATCCAATTTGCAACATGATCTTATATGTTTATTTAGGTATGTTAGACATGCATTTATGATATCTGGAGAATTAATTAAAAACATCATTAGTTATTGGAATGTCATCTTGTGCTTTAAATATTTTATTGTTTATTGCTATTTAATATCTGTTAATTCTCAGAATTTATCTAAATTTCTTTGTGTTTCAATGTAATACTTTGTTGCTTTTAGATAGCTTTTGCTACAAGAAATTATTTTGGACAATTAATTAATCAGACTCTGTTATAGTTTCAACTTTAATCTGTCATCTGTTTCTAAATGATTTAATTTGAAAACATATTTGCATTTCTTAGATGTGATATTTTATAAGCAACAAAATTGGAAGTTTTTTAAGATCAAAAAAGTTCTAAATCATGGATATTTTTATATAAAAATTTCATAGGTAAACAACATTTATCAGATTTTTATACAAATATATTAACTGTCTTGAGTTTGAAGAAGCATAATGATCAGTTAAGTTTTAAACTAGTTAAAGCAACTGGGTAGTATTGGATAATTAAACAAAATATTGACTCCTTGTTAAATTGTAGGACTTTGTTACTGTAAGCTGTTTTTTGTTAATTAAAATAATGAGGAATTAGTTATAATTAATTTTTAAATAGTTTTACTTTTTAATTAATTTCATTCAAATCTAAAACTATAAATCATTTTATTGGTTTGAATTAATCAAAATGAATATATTAGAAGTAAATATATTAATTCAAGCTATAAATGATTGATAAATTTTGATGATGATATAATGATGTAAAAGGGATGACTAGACAAATTATGTTTCGTTGTGTTAGAAATAATTCAGTAACAATTTTTATTATAGAAAGAACAAATTGTATTTGTTAAAAGATTATACTGAATAATATTAACCTGATTAATAAAACTTTTGTAGAGATATAGTACAAAATTCAAATTATTATAAAAAAGAACTTTTGAATTGTTAATATTGTGATAATCTTATATACCAGATGATCAAATGAAAAGGGACTTTGGAGGACTTTGGCAATGATGCAAGTTAGATTTGTGACAGCCATGCTGTTTGTCATGAGAAACACTAATTTTGAACATATTTACTATGAACAACATTCAAAACTTTAGAGTACTATAAAGTTAAAATTTGATTATTTTTATAGCATTATGAAGATCATCTGATCTCTTGAGATAAATATCTTAAAGATATTGTATGGGACTCTCTTCTAATTATGTTTGAATGTTTTTTATCTTGGATAATTTCTTGTTTATTCTTTTTGTTAAATACAGATCTTATGGATAACAATTTAAAAAAATATTTCTGAACTTAAACCTTTGTAACACAGATAATTTGGGTATTTTTATAAAAGCACATTGCCTTAATTTTTCATAACTACTATTTATATAGCTTTCCTCTATGAAAATTCTGTTCTTCAGTAAAAGGCATTCTTTAAGAAACAATTGTTTCTTAAAGAATATTTATATTCTTGTTTTAGTTTTTTAAAATTTATGATAAATGTCTTTAATAATTATTAAGGATGATCCTGTGGACGGGAATCAAATATTAGTGTTTTCTTCCAACTTAAGCATTTTTGAAACTTTATCTTCAGATAGCTTTATTTTAAATTAAAAGTGTGATGTAAAAACTTTTCAGACTGTTAGCTTTAAAAATTTTTAAGATAAAAATAGGAGATTAAAAATAATTGATGACAAATTTAATTATAGTTTATAACTCTTAAAGATATGTGATTATTATTGATATAATTATTGTTTAGTTTAAAAATAATGCAGTGCTATAAGTGTTGTGTTAAATTCATAATGAAAATTAATATTTCAGTTTTGTCAACCTCAAGGATGGTCATTGTCAACTGTTCGTCAGCAGCCAACATTTTTTGTATCAGTTTTAACAGATATAGATGCAAATCGACATTATTGTGCATGCTTGTCTTTTAATGAACCAATTGCTATCACTCCAAGTAAACCACCTGACGATGAAGGAGAGGAAGAAGTGGTAGAAAATGCAGGACTAATTCAACATCATTCATTAATGTATGCCCCAAAATGTTTAGTTCTTGTGTCAAGATTAGATTACTTCAATACTTTCAAGGTAATGACTCTTAAGTTATTTGATTACAAAGTAATTTAATTGATTAAAAGACAAATTTGAATATATAATTTAAAGCAGTTGTGAGCAACCTATACAGTCTTAATATACAGCCCCCAGGACTTTGGCAATGTAATTTTATTTTCTGTCTCATGCCATTATCCTATATTAAGTAAGCTGATATTCATGACATAGAATATTTAAATTAAACTATAATAATAATAATTACTACCTAGTGCACTGGCAGTTATGGAGTTATATTGGTACTCAGAAATCTTAAAGTCTCCAACTCCATAAGGAAAAAATTAAACTATTAAGAAAAAATAAAAAAAAACAAAGAAAAATGCATCATCTAAATTGTCCATAGGTTGCTATAACATTGGATAATAAACAATAAGACATACACATATCAACATCACAGAAAATATAAAGAAAGGGAAAATATAAATATATAATATACAGTAGAGCGTCGATTATCCGAAAGTCAATCATCCGAAAGAATTCCAGTCGGCAAATTTAAATTTTTGCCAGTGCTGTGGCGCTGCAATCTTTGGCTATGTCTTGGGCTACTCAAATATTTTACGTTTTTGATAATACTAAATTAACTTCTGAAGTATAATTTTTTATTGTTTTTATATTTTTCAATATATTTATTTTGTTCATACAAAATAAAAAAATAATTTTTAATGATACAATAGTCTTTGTTAGGCTTAACATCAACGAAAATTTAATGCGAAGCGACACGCAATGGAGAAAAATGTCAAGATGGGATAAATTAATATATTTTTTCGTGCATAATCGGTTATCCGAAACATCGATCTTCCGAACAATCCCAGTCCCCAATTGATTCGGATAATCGACGCTCTACTGTATTAGAAAATTAACCTGTTAAAATTTCATATATACTGATCCAAACTTCTCCAAGATCAAATGATTATTTATTACAAACTTTGTGTGTTGTTATACACAGACTCCCATAAGTCAAGGATTCTACACTCTAAACATGGTTTTATTAGTTTAAAGCCAACACATAATGGTATGTAATTATTTTGTAAGACATTTTTGGCATAAAATAGAAGTAAAATCTTACATATCCTAAGCAGATTTTGTTTTACAATATCTATAATAATATGACAATGAAAAATATAATTTAATTATCAACATCAAACCTTTTATTATACACTAGCAGACCTAGCCATGCGTTGCTGTGGCTCAAAATGTATCTATTGTAAATGTATAACACTCTCTGCGGGAGGGAATTTTGAAAAATCCCTTAGTGTACATTCTCTTGATGTATCCTATTAAAACGCAATCAAAAATGCAAAAAAACTGCATCTAAAATAGTATAATAGAAGCCAAGTTCTTCACAGTAAGCCTTCACAGTAAGTTCTTCACAGTGATATTACACAGATGTCCCTCTCCCCTGTGTGGGGAGAGGGACATCTATATAATATAAAAACATGTGCATATTTGAATGCAACGTTCTGTCAAAATTTGAAAGCAATCGGTGAAGAACTTTCGGAGTTTTAAGATTTTGAACAAACAAGCAGTACATTTTTATTTATATAGATTATATTTTTAAAATATAAAAAATTTTAATTTAATATATATCATATTCATGAATTTATTTTAACATTTATAAATATATGAATATTTGCAGAACTGCTTAGGAATAACATATACAGTTTATATAGACAATATGATGCCCANTGAATATTTGCAGAACTGCTTAGGAATAACATATACAGTTTATATAGACAATATGATGCCCAATATTCAAATGGAAACTTTAGTAGGAAATATATTGGGCTGCGTACAAGTCCCACCTCCTGGTAAGTGTATTTTTGATATTTTTAAGCAAATTCATTATCTTAAAGAGAAGTGATAATTTTTTAGATACAGAAGTTACTAGAATATAGAATCACATATTCTATTAGAGTATAGAAGAATCACATTGCAAAATACATTGCTAAATTTATGATATTTTTTTAATATTTAGAACATTGGGTTTTATCACTATGATTATGATATGTATAAATATAATTTTTTTTTATAAAGTTGCTATAGTTATGACATTTGTTGCTGTTTTATATCATTTAGTTTTGGAATGTTAAAATATAAACATTTAATTTTTTTATTTCAAATTTCTATTTTTGGTAATAGATAGTAATTATAAAAGTTATCTAAAAAAATTTATAATTTCAATACCAATAATTATTTATTATTTTGTGTATTTCCTTTGGAATTAGCACAAGGTTGCTGCTGAGAACAAATCATACAGGAACACTGAGTGGAAAAGGTTGGTTTATTGACACAAAAACATATGCATTTTGGGCTTAATGCCCCTTCAATCCTAAGATTATTATAGTGACCTCTGGAATAATAATCGGTCACTGTAATAATCTTAAGACTGAAGAGGGGCATTAAGCCTGAAATGAATATCCTTTTGTGTCAATAAATCAACTTTTTCCACTCAGTGTTCCTGTATGATTTGTTCTCAACAGCAACCTTGTACTAATTCCAAAGGAAATACATGTAATTGGGAGAACAGCACACAACCAAGTTCTATTATTATGTGATTTGTTTTCAAATTATGTTATATCAAATAGTTAAATATAACTAACTAATAAATATAATATTTATAAGTTAATATATAACGTTAATTTTAAAGTGATTACTGTTTCCAAATTCATTTTTTAAACTCCGAACAAAATTAAATATTTTAATCCTTTTTTTAATCTGAATATTTTAATGTAAATTATATATAATTTAGTTAACAAGATAACATTTTCTGTAATTGGTTCAATAACTAAATATAATCAAACTTGTTTACAATGGTAAAAAGAAAGTAATTTATTTGTGCCACTGTACTTTATCTTTTAATATGTTTATGTTAACCAGTTTAAATTTTAATAATACCATATATTCCAGCGTATAAGACGATCCCTGACTTTTACAGTTAAAATATAGAGTTCGGGATATACTTGACTGTTGGACATTTTTATACCAGCCTGCTCTTGTATCCTATTATTCCTTCTATGATCACGTGGATTCTGTGAGACGCCTTCTGGTGGACATTTTTGTTGCAATTTTTCCAAAATTTTTCAAACAATTTCAAAAAATATAAGTTCTCCAATTTCTTTGAAAAATGCAATAAATAACATTTTTATTGCGCACTGAGTTTACTTGGAAAAAAAGTCGAAAAAGTGCCGGTGTCTCACAGACCTTACGCGACTTTTTGGGTAGGAAAAATTTGGCAGAAAAACACACTTGCGATAATCACTATCATTGATCGTGAGCATCTTTTTTGCTATTAATTCTTTTCTTCCAATAATTTTTTTTTTGTTTCAAGAAAAAGATCGATTCTAGCCTGATTTAGAAGCGAGATGTCACAACATACTGGCCCTCCCTTGTATCCTATTACCGTACCTCCTTCTCTGCTTCTCAGATTTCGCACATGCACACCTTTGCCGTTTCACTGCAGTCCTCAGGAGTGAGATCTGAGAGGCAGAGAAAGAGGTACGGTAATAGGATACATACAAGGGCAGGCCAGACAGGTAAAAGATGTGTGTTTTTCTGGGCACAGCATCACTCTATCTCTATCCATATCCTGGGTGTCCTGACTGACTGCAGCACCTGCCCTATAAGACGACACCCGGTTTATAAGACGACTCCCGACTTTTGAGAAGATTTTCCTGGGTTAAAAAGTCGTCTTATATGCCGGAATATACGGTAATTATTTTTTACTAAATTTTTATTTTTCCAGCTGTTATGTACTAATATAACAGAGGGAAAGTATAGCAATCAGTCAAAAAATGATCCTCCAAAATTTTACATTTTTTGACTTGGGACCTTGAAGCATTGAGAAATACAAAAAAATTCAGGTGTTTTTTCTGTATGTATGGATGTTAGTGTATATATGGGGGGCATGATTTTGTTCACCCTTTTTGAAACTTAGTAACTTCTGTGCTTTTTGTCAAAATTTTCTGAAATTTTGCAGGGAGGTTTGTATATTAGGGGGATTGGTGCTATTAAATTTTGGTGGTTAAAGGTTGAGGGAGTGGGGAGATAATGGGGGTTGAATCATATCTTGAGTGGGGTCTGACTTAATGATGATTTTATTCATTATTAGCATTTACAAATTTTTATAAAACCCATCCTTATCCTTAAAATTAAGTTTTTTGCCATTTTATAATAATTAAAATTTGAAATGTTTTTAATAATAAAATATCATAATAGATGGCTACACCAAATGTTGCCGGGAAAGTTTAGCAACTCATTGCTGGATGTTTTGTTTATATAAATTAAAATTTCACAAACTTTTAAACTGATTTTAAATTTATTATTATAAAACTTAAAATCAGCTCGGAAATTAATTCTATTTAAGGAATTCTATTTAAAAGTTGAATTTTTAAGTGCATAATTGTTACACTATTATATTTGTTATGAATGATATTTTACTATTAAATCTATAACATTTTCAAAAGTATATTTTAAACATTAAGATCATAAATCAGAAAATGTCATTGCAATATCACAAATAACAAAAGACAATGGCTGTACACTAAGGATGCATTTGGAAATTTTAACCAGTGTTATGGTAACTGTTGGTAATTACTAGAGCATTTAGAAAATGCAACCTGAATAACCAACTGCATTTAAAAATCATGATTATAATGTCACCAGTTGTTCTGTGGTACTTACCATAGTAACCATGGTGACAAAACGGTTACTGCAATTCTCTTGTAATTCAAGAGAATGGCAGTAATCACAGTAACTGCTTTTTCATCGTGGTTACTGCAGTTCTCTTCAATTGTAAGATGGTGAACACATTGTATTGTTGTGATAAATGTGACTGATTTTAAAAATTTAGAGGAAATAAAACAACATTCTGTTCCCAAACATCAGCATTTTGTTTTTGCAGCACCAAGTGACCAAGAACAGAAAGCCATGTCCTAAATTTCAGATGGGGCAGGATAGCATGGTCAATGGCCAGTAAATGCTGTGAAATTATTGATTTCACAGTATAAACTAAATGAAAATAAATTTTTCTCTGATGCTTGCCCAAAAAATTCTACAAGTTCATTTTCATCTTCTGATGAACTTGTCAAATCATCATCATATGATTCTGAATCAATATTCAAGAGCAATGACAGAATTAATGATATTACCTCCTCTTGACTTTCCATCATGTTGAACACAACAAAATAACCAGCATGTTTAAAAATGTGCTAATTGCCTGGAATAACTCTCTATGACTAATGATATCAGTCATCACTACCATGGTGTTACTGGTTAAAATTTCCAAAAAGCCTAAGTGTGCCAGAGAAAGAAGGGAAAGGGGGAGGATGAGGATATAGAAAGAAGAGAAAGGAAGGTACAGTAACGTTGCATACGCCAATGTTTAATGTTGGAATGGAGTTTTTAGGCTGTGAGGCCATGGGTCTGAAAGAAAACTGAGTTGTAGCTTACATCAATAAGTAGTGCAGCTACATAAAAGCTAGACAGAGTAAAGATTTAGGCTTAAAATTATAGTGAAGGCTTAAATCTAATACTAAAATTAATACAGAATTTATAGCAACTCTATAGGAAACAGAATAACATAACTGAAACAACCATGAGAAACAGCTGAAAACTGATAACTTAAATCTAACTTATTACTAACTTAAAACTAATTATACTAACTAATTACTCAACAGGAATGCTGACAAGGACAACAACTCATACAGATAAGAACGTGCCATGACAAAGACCTAGGAGCAAGATGCGAATTATTATTATTATTGTGTTGGGTTCCGTGGGTAATACTCGGTTAAACCGGTGGCTGTGTACTATGCCGGACCAGAGTCAAGGCATAGCAACCAAAACAAAACTAAAATTAAATAAGTGTGTCAGTGTCAGTGTCAGTATTCAGGAATTTCCTAACAATGTGGCATGTATTCAATATAGTGGCCTTCTGTAGTGAGACCAGGTGGTGACCACGGGAGAGTTATTATTATTATTATTATTATTATTACCGTTATCATTATTATTTTTATTTAAGATGACAAAAGTCAACAAAATGAAGATTGTGATATCACAATGAAATTTTTCTGAAATTCTAATGTCTATGACTGTTTATTAGATGAGAAACATAGTTTTTAAATTTTGCAATTTCAGTTTATTCTGACACTAATTAGGAATTAATTGCATTTCAATTTGAAGAGGCATATCATTTCCATAATTTAGACAATTGAAGTACAGTATGTCAGATTAAATAGTGGATTTATAGCCTAATTATTTAAGGCAATTGTTTCGTAATGTCTACATTGTCTAGTATCATAGTATTTGTGTTTTCAAATTTTGATTTTAAAAATAATTCATTTTAGTAATTTTTTTCAAATTGTTTTTTGTATTGAATTTTTGCATATAAATATCTATAATGGACTTTCCATTTACTTACATTCAGAAATAAAGTTAACCTTCAATTAGATTAATTTAATTTTAGTCAGATATGCAACAAATGATGTTTCAATAAAGACTGTATACCAGGAGTACCCAATTTTTATTGGTGGAACCCTAGGGTATCACCAATAAAAATTTGTGTTTCACAATAAAATTGTATGAATATGCTAATGCAGATTCAGGATGTGAGGTGTAATTCTTCTAGTCTCAGATCAAGTTCTAGTATGACGATACGAGGACTCGATCCATGACTATGCATGTGCTAAAGTTATTTATTGCTTTTTAAACAGTGGGGACTGATTGATCGATAATGGAATGAACCAAAATCATGATATAATGTTTGACAAACAAGGTAATAGGGAAACAATAAAAACATTAAACATAAACT